TATATATATATATATATATATATATATATATATATATATATATATATATATATATATATATATATATATATATATATATATATATATATATATATATATATATATATATATATATATATATATATATATATATATATATATATATATATATATATATATATATATATATATATATATATATATATATATATATATATATATATATATATATATATATATATATATATATATATATATATATATATATATATATATATATATATATATATATATATATATATATATATATATATATATATATATATATATATATATATATATATATAACTAAACGAACTTTATGGTTGTACGGCAGTGAAGCATCAGTGGTAACACTGATGTTGCTTGATGTGATGATGATGATGGTGTTAATGGTCTTTATTTCTTTTTCACTAATTTAGTCGCCACTATAGTCCATCTCTTTCTACGAATACCATCAGTTGTTGCTGTCTTTGATGATGATGATGGTGTTAATGGTCTTTATTTCTTTTTCACTAATTTAGTCGCCACTATAGTCCATCTCTTTCTACGAAGTTTCTACCATCAGTTGTTAAACCAAACTTTCCCATTTTTGACGGAATATAATTCCCGTACTTATACTATCTTTCTGTTCTTTGGTCGAAAAAACAGCCCATATGTTGTACTCAGCTCTTTTCATTCTTTCGTAAAGCATTCATTTCCCTAAAACTGATGTCGTCTGTCACAAAGCCAGTTCAGGGCTAGTGCAGCTTTATGATTTTGTCACGTTTAAAGTAGATTTTCTTCCTCTGTGCTCCCACGATGTGTAACAAGTGGTGTAGCCTTGAACAAGATTTGATGCACATCTGAGTTGTCACAATACCAAGTTACAGGTTGGTCAGAATTTTCACTTGCTATCACAGCCATGATGTTGTGTAGTTCTTGGCAAAGCATTTCAACCCAACTGGGAACCATCGCAGCTTTTTTGCCTGTTACGAGCATCCTTTTTTGTTTGCAGATGAGTTTGGTACAAACTTCTGCTTCTCCTAAGTGCGGACCAGGTCACATCACCCTCGAATCTCTTCTGGATTCACCCGGCATGACGCCATCACCTCTTTCGGAATCGATCAACGATGGGAATAATTGCGAGTATACCGTTCAAGATGGAAGATTCTCAGAACTGCTTGCACGGGATGTTAACCCAACGGATTCGAATGTGTACGGTCGAAGATTATTCATGACGGAACTGCAGCGACAAGCCGTTTTGCGCGAGTTCTGTATTGAACTACTGTTCGTTTTGAGGAACCAAGATGTTAATGGATATTTCCTATCGTTCACTATCGAAGCCCGTAGCCCGAAGGTGATTTTTCCATTTTGCTACATTGTTTGTGAGAAATAAGTTGCTTTGCATGTGATCTTAACAGTTTATGTCTGACTATCTCCATATTCACATAGTGAAGAAGCTAATTTAATAGTAGATCACTAGTGTCCTCACTTTTTACCGAAATTTCTATTGAGTTGTATTTGTCCACAGACTTCACGACTTTTATCCCTGGTTTGCTGCGTATGCTTACCGGCAAGGTATGACGGTACCTATTGAAAAATTCACACACTGACCAGTGGTTGGACTCGGTCACGCAGGTACATGGCTTATGACTAATGACCTGGACTGATCGTGTCTGTGTCTGGTTGTACTGTTCTGCAGGCAACGTGAAGGCTCAGTACATTGAGGCCCTGATACCAGCTCTCAGGCTATGTTCACTCCAAGCATATATATATATATATTATATGGTTCAGCTGTAGCACCCTTTCGGTGCCTAATTGCCATGCTACCAGAAGAAAACACAAGGGCTGGGATACTGCCAGGTTGCCCAAGCCTAGACAGGAGAAGTTGAGAGGCGGAGGTGAGGTTCGAAACACGGACCTTCCGGTCAGATATTCGCACTCTACCCGTTGAGTCATCTCGCCCCGTAGGTATATTTACGTGGTCGTCAACAGCAGTGCACTAGTAATAAATGTTAGTACTCAACTTCAGTAGAACCGTGAGAAGGACCGCATGAAGGATAGAGATCTATTACAAACAATGTTATGTCCTTATGGAAAATGATTAGTGACAAAGTAGTTACACTGTATGGAAGTAACACACTGCTCTTAAGTTTGGTTTCGCTCATCATCCGGTGGGTTCGGTCCCGGAGTTTCCACCAACCCTATGTTTCACTTGAACCCAAATTAGATAGACAAATACACATTTGCATACCAGCTTGATTTTTCACCGGTGACTACTGAATCCCAGCTTAATTCCTCGTTTGTGATGTTCTTCGGCAACCTTATGCGTACTGTGTCACGTCTGAACAATGCGGTGCGATATCTCGTACCTGCTGAAATGTGAGTGTGTAACATATTCGGTTGAAGAATATCACACGGGTGATTCAGCTGGGATTGAGGTTAGTCTCCCGTGAAAACCAAAATGATATGTGAATGAGTGCATTTGCCGAAATGGCTACACTGAAGAATATCACACGGGTGATTCAGCTGGGATTGAGGTTAGTCTCCCGTGAAAACCAAAATGATATGTGAATGAGTGCATTTGCCGAAAGTGGCTACACTTTTTAGCAGCTAAGCTTAGCCATCTGAACATCAGTGGAATTCGTTCGCGAACCCTAGTCGACGAGAATTTACCACATAAAAACAGGCAAACTTCAGCTAAACAGTCCGACCAGGAAGTATCAGCGCTCTCGCCACCAGGGCCGGTCACACGCGAAGATCCAAGAGCAGTTGCCAGAACCCCCTTTCCAGTTTACCAGATCGTGGCCTAACCTCCTACTTAGAGCTGCAATAAAAACGGAAGGAACGGGTTTTGACCAATGGAGCAGAAGGTATGAACGGTGGTGTGCAGTTGGCCGACTGGCTTTCCTAAAGCTGATCTTTACAGAATAACGAGGCAAGAGTGAAAGTGAGAGAGAATGATGAACAAAGATTGAAGGCGTCAGCATTCGTATTATTTCACTTGTTCACCGTGCTGGATGCAGATAGTAAGATGACCCGACCGATGTCACCATGTGACGGCGCATGTCTTTTTTCACGAAGCCATGGTTGGATGTGGGCTGAGCTACTCTTGGAGCGCTCGAACCTGGACAGGCGATCAGAGTTCTCAACCAAAGGCGTTGTCTCAAAGGCCTGACTTAAGTAGCAGTAGTTGGTGTAAGACTACTGCACCAGTCTAACTGTTAGGGAACAGGATGCCACACTTTTCAACCCTCGATACGGAGGCCGGAAGACTGTGTTTATCAGCCCAACTCAGCTGGAGTGACTCTGTCGATGCCGCATAAGCGACTTTTGTTATGGTTTAGTGGGTTGTTGAGTTACGCAAAACGCAGCACCACGATAAGGCCTAGTCTCTTCTCGATGATAATAATAATAATAAGTATCAACGGTCGACAAAAAATACGAGGAACTAGTCAAGTATAGGCAGAATCATGACGTCAGTGTGATGCGCTCGCCCGTGAGCACAATCCCGAACTGTTTTCCTCAAAGATTCTAGCCCTGCCCAGCCGCCAAGTCTTCCTTTCGCCTTTTTCCATTTCGCGTTTTTCCATCAATTCCTATGTAGACAGCCAGTTACAAAGGGCGTTAATTTGCCATCCGAAATACGTGCCCAACCAGCGGAGTCAGTGCTGGTTTATGGCGTCACCATGCGCACTGCAGACGTGGTGTTGTAATTCAGTATTACTCACTCGCTGCTGCAACCATTTGCGCGAAATGCACCGTAGACGATCGAAGGCGGTGAGTTGTCTAATATCTGTTCGAAAGGGACAGGTTTCACATAATATAGTTGTGTTGTACTGGACTGCTTCATAAGAAGTAGGGGTGCTGGAGATTCTTGAAGACGATCCTAGCTGTGGTAAGCCTCGATTTCATTCTGGCAGCTTGGTATCCGTCTGTATTGGTTTAAATCTTGGGATCCTTAAAGCGGTCAACCACTTAGGACACTTCGCTAGCAATAGAAAACGAGATTACTGGTGAAAAGCAGTCCTGAGCAGTGATGTTACAATTCGTTACTGGGCGAACCATGCCATAACGGTTTGCCTCCGATGTGGGTCACTCCGGATTGTCCTGTACGAATCGGGTATCATCTGTCAGCTTCTGAATCCTGCTGTCCCGTAAGTTGGACGCGCAATTTCCAGGCATTGCGCTAGTGGGGATGTCACCAACGATGAGGGTAAATAAAAAGGAGGGGATTGATCATCTCTGACGAACCTCACTGGTCCATCCATCGTTCAGCTGTAACACCTTTCTGGTGCCTAGCTGCCATGCCACCCGAAGGAAGCACGAGGGCTGGGATACTGCCAGGTTGCCCAAGCCTAGACAGGGAAGTCGAGAGGTAGAGGCCGTGTTCGAACCACGGACCTGCTGATCAGTAAATTTGCGCTCTAACCACTAGCGATCTCGCCCCCTCCTCCACTGGCATACTTGTAGCGAACTGCATGAACTCGGTCTCAATAGGAAAGTCACTAACCTCACTGGTGGCTGGAATTAGATGGGATAATTAGCCGTAAACGCGAAAATCGCCCGTTGTTTCAGTACACAGTGCTTCCTGATTGTCCACGGATTTCGCTTGAACAGATGGTGAAATGGCTTAGTGGTTAGAGCGCGAATTCACAACCGGAAGGTCCGTGGTTCGAACACGACCTCTGCGTCATGACTTCCTGTGTCTAGGCTCGGGCACCCTGGCAACATCCCAGCGCTCGTGTTTCCTTCAGGTGGCATGGCAGATAGGCCTCGAAAGGGTTCTACAGCGAACAGTTTATTTATATTTTTTATCTGCCAACATTATTACGCTTGTTTGGGTAAGTTTTTTTGCACACGTGCTTCTATCCCTGGTTAGACGAATAGATAGTTCGAATCAACCAAATCAAGTAAATCGTAGCAAGTTTGCGAGTATTCTCAGTTATCTTGTAGTTCTTTATATCAAAACAACGTTGTGAATATTACAAATGATTTATCATAGAGGTGCGACTAATCTACATGCTGTTTGACTTGTGGTTTAATTTTGTCGAGGCGTTGTGACATAGCTTCATCACATTTATTTCACTGCTTCGCTTGATCTGTTGACCTAGCTTTGATGAGCCCAGGACCATGCCCGAGAATCTCACGGAAATGTAGGTCCTAGATAAAGTATATTGTCTGTTGGATGGGTGAGTCCTACTAATTTGTGTGTGCACAGGAAAATGTGACTTATACTGAAGTTTTCACCATAGCCGGTTAGACTGTCTTCATCGTCATCATCATCATCATCGACAGCATGACATCAGTGTTCAACACCGATGCTTCACTGCCGTACAACCATGACTTATTTGAAAACCTTATTGTAATGAAAAGAATAAAGGTGGACGGGGAAGGGACTTAGTGCTAGCTTAACACAATCATTCCGAGGTGCCTACACCTCCAGACATTCATTCAGGCAATCTGGATAGAAACTGACAACAATAACGCCACTGACATCGGTTGGCAGCCATATCTTGTAGTGTCTTCAACCAGGCACAGTGAGGATCACGCGGTCCCCATCCTGGAAGGCGAGTAGCACGGGCAGCACCCAAGCGTTTCGTGATCTCCTTCATACTCCTGTGCCAAGTCAGGGGTTGGCCACCTCTCTGTTTACGCCACTCTGAGTTGGGCATGGAAAACAGTACTCTCTTCGGCAAACGATGGACTGTACCTCATCTAGGTCGGGAATTTGGCCGCTGTGTACCGGGTCGGGTATATATCGCCTGACTGTGCAAAGCCTTAGGGGCTATGGCTTGAAAAGTGCAACCATTTTTTGCGTTCTAGTTCGTTCACTTATTCGGTGGATCAAACAATCCGATGATTCACTGGCTTATATCCACTTCACTTTTGTTCCAAATACAGTAGTGAACAGCAGGTGCTAAATACAAGTGCTGTTCACAGTGATACTTCCATAGCTTACGACTTTGTGCAAGGACGTGTGACGATTTATTCGGTGAGATGGGACGAAAATCCATCCGTACGGCGTTCACACTACCTTGTAATTCATCGACCCGAACACTCCATTGTGTGCTCCCATCCTCCGTCACCTGTTCAAGCTGCAGCCCTCTCTACCTCCAATTTTAGTTCTGCTCCCAAAAAAATTAAAAAAATCCTTAGGGGCGATGTTGTTCTCGTATATGCACACTCATATGAATCGTTCACCTCCCAATACGTTGGAGCGGGTGAATGAAGACAGTAATGGCTTTCACGTTGACATCGCTTGAGGTCACTAGTAGTAGGGATGTCGTTGGAGAGGTCATCCAAATTTTACGTGGGATCGGTAAGTTCTCGATAAGTTCACCCTCTTGGTTGAAAACAATGTGGTTCAATCTGGATTTGACCTTGCAAGTGAAACCTACCAGTTGCGGAAATCCAATGTGCACTGTGTGGCTGTTTCATCCTTGTTGTGGGCTACCGACAACGCACGTCTTGTGGACCTCCAGGACGATCCGAATTCGCGACCTTCCGGATGGGATTTTGAAGATACAGGTATTCATATCCTGGAGACTGACCAGTAGTTTAATCTATTCGCACTTTACTAACGATATTGATTGGACTCCCGGTTGACGATTTATTGGATGAGATACCCATGGGATACTTTCACTTGCAAAATAGAGCTGTCCTACTTAGTTGTACTTTATGCATACAGACCAAAACACCTGTCTTACTCGGCTACTGATCTCGTTCCGTACTTTCCCACAGGAGAGCTGTTCCCATATGGGATTGCTTACTTTAGAGAAGCGCTTGCTCTCGAACGGTTATCGCACACTCAACGAGTTCAAAATTGACGTTTCTGCCTTGTTCAGTGGCGCCCTTCGTCACTATCCTGTTGATACGTTGGCCAATAGCGAGGCTCAGCGTCTCCTGAACACAGCTTCAGATTGGTTCGCGTCACTTCCATTGGACTATGTTGATGCCCTCAACGTTGAACCTACTCGGCCACAACAATCTCTGAAGCTTTCGGTCCCTGATAGGTCTGCTCTCGACGAGTTCAGTATGGAAACTGCTTTGGCGATTCTCAATCCAGATAATCATGGCATTGTTAACAGAAACGAGCGTATCCGGCCAATTGGGGAAGAGGTACGTACTATACAACCTTATTCCGGTACAGTTTATTTGGTAAGATCCCCAGAGAAGAAAGGTATCTCGCGGGTGCACTGTCGGGTACGTACGGCAGCGAAACATCGGTGTTGAACACTGATGTCATGCTGTCCATAATGATGATAGTGATGACTGTAGCGTACCCAGCACATATAGACGTATGCCTGACTATTATTATGAATCGTTTGTCTATCTGCTATCTGAAAGTACACGAGGCCTAGATGGGTAGTTCGAGTGTACCCCGCGCTCTCCACACCAACAACTTTCAAAGAGTACACGCTAGACTCACCACGGATTCTTGAGGTTGGATAGCCGTGGGGCTAGTGATTTACCTTTCAGACCTGAACGAGTTCATCTGTGATTTCGATTGGTAGGCACTTTCAAGCTAAAGTTACTAGTACACTCAAAGTGGCGTAGAACTTCCAGTCCATCAAACAGTCGTTTTACTTCATATGGTAGACGCTCCGATTCTATCACTTGTTTTGGGCTACTACTCTTGTAGCACTCTATCAATGGTCTCACTTCAGTTGGCCATTGCCGCCTCTATTTCTCCTTGTAGGTGGGATCACTAAAGTCTGGTTCATATCTTTTACCCAATGGTGGATACCGTGAAGATCGTCGCAACAAAGTCATCCCCTACACCTATCTGAACTATGGTCCCTTCTATTCGTTTGCGCCTCACTACGATAGTGGTGCTTCTCATTGTTCACCTGAGGCCAATCAACTGGTACTGGGTACTTCTTGGCTCCCCGCACGTACTACCTATCTAACTGTGGAACCCCAATCGGGAACTGACTTGGATACTTCCGAAGTTGATGATGAGGTTAGCAAGTCTATCCGTTCGGACGCTGTGTGTTCTGCCCTTGCGATAGGAGATCAGCAGCTCGCCGTTTCCCTTGCTGTTGCCGATATGGAGCAACGGGCGACGAACCGATTGGCGGCCGAATTGGACGAAATCTTACCAGGACCGGAAGTTTCTGAAGACTGTGTGTTCAGCATGTGTCTTGCTAATGCTTTTACCATTGATCTTCTGCGTGATAGGAGAAAATCGGATGAGAAGAATGAGACGAACAAACTATGCACATTGACAGAGGAGTGCAAAGCTTTGGTGGACTTGGACGAGTTAGAACAAGGTATGCATTCCCCTTATAAACATACCGATCGAAATTCCTCAGCGACTCGCCATCAGTTCTGTCCTATTTTTAGCTGATTAGTAATAGCGATTGCAGATCGTAGACGATTGATTTGCAGACGTTTCGGCACTTGAGAAGCTGTCATCAGTGAGCTGTTGGGTATAAAGTAGTATGTAACGACGATCAAATGAGCCCACTTCTTCGAAATGATTTGGTGTATCTTTTGTCCTATTTGGTCTTCCTCTTTATATCAACGAAGCAGAAGACCGCGTACCGAGCTTTCACCCAACGACTGTTGTTTTGATGGCACTTATACAAAATTCGGGTATTTTCTAGCGAGAATGGTCTATTAATGTTGTTTTTTATGCATCAGTGGGTGTATACACTTTTGACCATCTTCCTATGCATGAAATTAGTTGTGTTACTCCCAACCGTGCACTCATTCTTATGTGACAACATTAAGTTGCGGTTATAGCCCTCTATTTGAGGGTGTACTCCCGCCGTTTCAACTTGACTGAGCATTCTCCCTATATGATTTGTGATCCAACTGTCAAATCAAGGGCTGTGGTTGCAATCTCCAGCTTTTGCCAATTTACTATCCCTCCCTTCGCATACCTCATCTTATGGCTGTAAACCATACGAGTTGACGTTGACGTATTCACCTATCAGTGTCGTCCGGGTCCCCTCAGGAATCGGACCTAAGAATTTCACCCTACTGTGGCTGGAGAGTATTCTTCACGTTCTCTGACTGTCTATTCTCAAGCTCCGTCAAGATCAGCCTTTTGGCACTGTGACGTTTGTGTTCACATATTTGTCTTGAACATGACATTTCTGGAATCCGGGTCCTCACTGTGCGCTTGGCAGCATAGACCTGGACTTGCAATATATCGACATAAAATGTCATGTTCCATAACTGATCCCTAGTGTCACCTTCTTGTAGTCCTCATATAAGCGTTCTCTCGGTTCAATGCGTTGTCTTCACTACTGTAGACGGTAGTTCCGAATCGTTTAACTGGTAGCGGTTCGCCGGAAAATCCTTGCGAACCAGGATATGAAGTAACTAATGCGAAACGTTCTCTTTTAGACCATTCAGTTCGATACAACACGGCCACTTCTCTTTATATTGGACAACTTGTAACATCTGGAACAGTCCGTAGGCAATTTAGTTCTTTATCCCTCCTTGGAGCTCGTCAGATAGGCCCAGTTCTCAAATTTCTATCAGTCTTGTTTCGTACTGACATACGAGGAGACTGAAATGTACCCAGCTGAAAATTGTGATTGTGTCAACACTAGACTGAAACGTATCTATCGTTCATGACATTAAGTTTAAGAATATTATTAACTAGATATTCATATTCGTTGGTGATTTTGTTCCTTTCCGTCCTTTCGCAATTTGGTAGAGGTTTACTTCTAGTGTTCTGATGGGCGTCATGTTTAATCTACCAGAGGAACCACTCAGATCTATATTATTGCTATACGTTGTTTAACCCGGAAGAGTTTGGATGATGGGTTGTGGGGACCTTTTCTGAATCAGCGATCATGACACTTACAATGCTATACGGTACAGAAAGCCTATTGAGATGGGCTGGTACCGTTCTGTTTCCCTTTTTCAAGCCACATTTGTCGTATTATCTGTCAGTTCTTAATACCGAAATGGACAGTCAAGGTACAATCTCTCCTAGAAGCGACAGCATTTTTCTTCGGTTCCAGAACCTTCTTCAAGCAGTGTACAATAGTCCCAAGTTTATCGTCGGTTTTTCTTACTTTCAGCCACCGCGGTTGAAGACGACCCATCGAAGGCCAACGTGGATGCGCTTAGTGATTCAGCGAACGACATTATAGCATTATATCGTACTCAATATCGTCGACTTGGAGATATCTCACAAACTGCAGCTATGTCCGGATCTACTCTTGTGCCGAGTCCGATGGAAACGTCAATCGCCCACCGGTTTGTGAACCGTATGGTTAACATGACTAAACGAGTTCGTCCACGGGATATCGTTCATCCTTATGCTGTTCGGCGTGCAATGGGCATGAAACCGGAAATTGCCCCGTTGCCGGACGATGATAGCAATATTAAAGAACATTTGGAGGCGTCAGAGTTGATTTGTATGCCTTAACTGTAGTTTCATCCGGTCGAATTAACTATCCTGCTCTTTGTACAAAATACCTTCAATTTCTGTATATACATGGCGTTTTCTAATCTCTTTAGGATCATTTTTTTGCCGTTTGATGGGCTTTGAATAAGAAGGCAGATCTCACTGATGAACTCCCGACTATCTGCAATGAGAATAATTCGAACAGACTTGAATATTGCGCGTTCCAATCGGCACTTGACAGTGGATGGGACTGTCATTCCTTATTGGACCGCAGTACTGTCGTGGAATAATCAAACGAAAACCTTTATGTAGTCGAACTGCCCAGCTCAGAGAAATAAACCAAGGACAATCTACGCTACCGGAGCTGCCAACAATCCCCTCAATAGCATGTGAATCCTGCAGGTTCCAGTTATGACGTACCCACATACATGGGAATTCCCTTCATCGTAAATCTGTCAGGACTCGTTCATGTAACCTCCGGAAACCATTTTGACAGGCCGATCAGTCATTTTAAACAATGTTTCATAGTTTAGTTCGCCGATAAGAGAGGGCTGTCGGCGGGACCTTCGTGACTTTCCAGCATGAGTATACTCAATGTATTTTCTCCACTTCTCTGATACCGTAGGGATTGAGACAACTATGCATCAAACATACGGACTTTGGTGCAGAGGCATTGCTGAGTGCTTGATGGGACTTCGGTTATTGTCACTAATCGTTGAAGTCCCTTCGGGAGTTTTCGGCTAGTGAAACGGGGGCGACAATGAACTGTCCTTTGATTTCTGTCCATAAGAAAGCTGCTCTCTCCTCCACACTTCCTGTGCAACTTGCGCTTTCGACTAGCTTATGATCGCAGACCCGAACTCTGCCGGAACCTATCAGTACCTCAAAGCTCAATTAGGCCGTCACCAATACTACATAGCTGTACTTGTTCTTTACCGCTTTCAAAGTCTTAGAAAAAATGAGCATGGAGTGTGTGAAACGTGCCTTTGGCAATAGTCTGTTCAGTAATGAGCGATACAAGTGCGCAAACGAGGGACGCTCCACATGGAACGATAAACTACAGCGTTTTGGTCAGGGTATACTGGACACGAACAGACGGTGCATTTCCAACACGGTAACCAAAAAACATAGGCACTGGAAATACGGTTTCTTTCCTTCCACTGTGGAAACCAATGTTTGGTGTGCAGTGGTGCATCGTTTTTTTTTATTGTACTACGATTTCTGTTTTTACCTTCGCCCAATGTTCAAACCCAAAGACTAGCCTTGTTAGTTAGACTTCTTTTCACAACCAGACAGCTTTTGTTCTCCTATTAATGAGCGACAGGACATCCGAAATCTGTTTACATTTCCATAAGAACTTCAAATTAGGGGGATAGTAAAAATGTATTTTTAATTTGGGTGAAGCGAGAAAGTGGACACAGCAAATAACCTTTCTGGGTTGTTCACACTCCCTGTGAAGCCCTCCGGGTATGTCCTTAGAAGGACATTTTTCTCCGAATTTTATTTTTCATAGTCCTAATGCATATCCTCTGTCAGATTATCGATGGGTTAACGTCAAAGTTCTATCATCCTTACCTTATAACTTTCCAAAGTTCCACAGTGTTGTAGAAAGCATGACTCATCGCATACCCCAGCTTCGAAATGGTTCCTCAAAAAATTGCAAGAGAATTCAGATTTGTTCCTTCATATGACACTGTCTCAGCTATTTGGAGAGTTGACTACTGGTTTCGCCGGTGGTCGTCAGGGGATTTATTCCATCACTCTTACTATTTCGGATGACCCATTCTGGATTCACACGTCACCAAGCAAAAAGTGACTTTCAGATAGGACCCATAGATGCGTATAAATTTGGAAGCACGTCAGAAGCGTCAGCTCACCTGGACCTTGTTGAGTTCACTCAAATGAACTCCGGTGCTTCACCTCCTACCTTGACAGGAAATCTTGTGCCACAGAGAGTACACCGCGAATTTATCTTCCACTCTTCACTCGATTTCGGATTTTACTTTGGTTATGCCAGATCGTTTGAAATACTTTTTCTGTTTTCGAGTTAGACGAGTGATTCAGGTTGTTAGATCAAGTAAGTTCCTCGATCTGTTCATTCGATTCCACGCGGGGACTAGCGATTTCCCTTTGCTATACACTACAATCGTGATACCCTCACGTATTGATGGTTGCCCCGATGGGTTTGGCAAACTATCATCCGCGAGTGTTGCTGGTCAGTTCCTACTTTGTCACTCAGAAATTGTTCACCCATGCACCCGGTTGGTTCCACTACAAGTGATCGCGTGATATTTTTCGTTTGTAACAATTTAGTTTATTCTTGACAAGCGTCACTCAACTGCCACCCGTAATATCGCTAGTGGAATGGGGAAGTGAGAGTTCCTAGGTTGAGGACATGGTAGCCTGCACTCGACGTGTACGGTCAAAACGTTTCCTCAGAGAGGATGTCTTGAGATGGATGCAGTATCTAATTAACCAACTGTTTGGCCTTGAGTTCATCCTTAATCAGCATATCAGTTGGGTTTGAAATGCCTACTTTTGTAGGCAGAGAAATGAGACGGAAAGAAACAGGATGGATTTATAGGGATTTCACGCACCAGAATTTACGGGTCAGATAGATCACTCCTCATCTTTTTGGAGCGTGACTCAATGCAGTTGGAAGTCGGCTATTTTGTTAGTAAGCAGACAGTTTAATGAGTTCCGTCTTCTACTTGACTCAGATAACTACTGAAGAAATAATTGGCCAGTCGTTCGTAGGGGTTGACATTCTGGCAACCAATTGGATGATACTGGATCCAGCGGCGGGTTCGGCCTGCACATTTTGCTCGGTATTGGCACATTCTCCATCTGTATGAGACAAAAGACAATTGCTAAGAATCCAAGAGTAATCAGATGGTTTGGGTTTCTGCCAGAAAATGTTCTTCAATGCCTTGTGGCTGTCTTACGAGTGTATACATGGGAAATTTGATGTGTAGTTTGCTGATGAGAGATTACGCTAATTCATTTATAAGTTACATTCATACTGAACACGGACAAGCTTTCTTATTTCTAAATGATGGATTCAACACATAAATTCAGCTTGAATATGACGGCTGACGATTGGCTGCATAAAAATAAGGGCTTTAACCCTACTAATAGAACATTCAGAAGTTCAAACGGTGTCGGATAGGGGGACGTTGGGTACTTTGTTCTTTTACGTACATAGACGTCACATTGTTAGCGAAACCCTGCAAACCAGTCTGTTGCAGTTTCGTCAAATGGCCTGGACGACAAATGATGCCACACTACTTTGAAGCACACCTACTTAGATTAATTTACTATGTACATTTGGTTGTTGCCAATAGAAGCGCGCGAAGCTTGTTCGCTCATATGATCTAACGCGCATGATATAAACACTGAGGCTATCCAACTTATCAGTGCGCCCGAAAATTTGGAACTCCGGGAAGTAATTTGATTTACCGGGTATCTGTCATACTTTGCAAACTTAATTATGTTATATTAGCCATACTGCTCTAACGCTGACCTAGAATGAAGGTTGAATGCCCCCTATTACCTTGAAACTAGGCAGCAGCTGGATAGATTCCGTTTCGCCACTGCGAGTAGTATAATGATATATACCGAAAGCACATGGTTGATGAAATGAGTAGGTATGTCTTATTGTAGAGTTGAGGTGGTCAGTTCTGGAAAAAAGCAATCTCCTGTACGTTTCTTTCTGGCAGAATAATCAGGCGGATGCAGAAGGAGTAACCGTCAGCTTCTAAGGCTCGAACTTCACACTCCCAACTGCGGCCGTCGACCTCAGTCGTTTGTCACTTGCTGAGTCTAACCCGAAGAAAGTGCGCAGTGCATTGAATGTCGAGGATTTATAGTATTCGCTTTAGAACCGTGCATGATGGCCGCAAAATTTAGAAAATTATTTTTGGTTAGTGAGTTTCCTAATGCGTCCGACACATAGGTCATACGATTGAATCCTGTTTGTACTGTCCTAAACTTATTCCAAAATCTATTATCTACAACAAGATAGATCTGATTAAGTCTCAGTAGACCTAATTTATTGTATACTGTGACTTGATTAACCCTCTATTTGTAAAAAATTAAAACTTTGACACTTCGATTGACCTAAAACTGTCAATATTTGCGTGATATTTTGTCATCCAACCCACATTTTTCGTCACCTAACCCGACTCATTGAATCTAAGGGCGATATCTCATGTGGAATGATTAGAGACGATAGGAATTCTCCTAGGTCCGACAGTGACTGCCATTTTTATGACCAAATTTGAACTAGTAATCGAGACTGAAATCAAGAATGTGCGTTTATACCAATGACAAAATCAGATGTCAAAACTCACTATGTTAACTCGCTCCACCTGAGCTTTTTTTTTACACTTTCGTATAAACAAGATATTCGAATACCGTTCTTACATATCCTGGGTGCAAGGAATTTGGGTGACATATCCTCTAGTGTGCTGGAAGCCCACATGAATGTGAGAACACTGCAAACTTTTATTGCATTCATTACAAACGTTCCCTGGTCCTCAGTTTGAAATACGGGACGGAAAATTTGTACCTCGGACTCGCTGGATGCGGAAATACTGTAGCTGTAGGATGCACCTCGAAAAACTGGTTATCCAGACCGATTCAGTGGACACAACAAGAAGCTAGACTTCATGGAAGGACCAATAGTGGCAGTTCCACGGCGTTACTGTATACCGATGACGACGCATCTAACCGTTTGAGTAGACACTCCACGGAGTACCTTTAATGTCGGCCCATTACGATTGGTTCACCTACAAATTCGGGAGAAAGTGCGTTGGTAGAACTAACAAGAGGCTTGAAACCCAGGTAAATGACCATCTAACTAGTCGAATGTCGAAGCTGTTAAGCGATCCGCGGTTTGACACTAGTGGAATCGGTTCCAAGACCATATCTTCAGACACGAGGAAAGTAATCGGAAGAGGGTTCAGCCACTGTTTAAATTCAGCACGAGATGCATAAACCAAAGTGGTGTGGTTTTATGAAGCTCCGTCAATCATTCGGCTCAAGCTGTCATTTTGTTCACCGAACCTTGGTGCCTCAGTATCTGAATTGCTAGAAGAAAGACATTTTTGGTACGTTTTTACTTAGTCCGTCATGTTTAGTGAATTGACTCCAACCACAGTTTGTAACCTTAAAGGGTGTATTTTCCTCAGGTGGGTATTTTTCTTCGGCATGCTTGATCTGGGGCCACATTACTCTTGATGAGGGACCCCAAAACGCTACTGAACTGTCAAAATGGCGCAAAATAGCCGGCACGCTTCAGGTATCCTTTCAGCAATTGCGGTTTCTGTGTTAATCTTGGATACCATCATAGATGTAACACCAAAGACAATTTAAGTCGTTTGAGAAGATAGGCACAAAGATGTATGCTCACCGATAAATGTGGCCTCGACGGCAAACGGCGGAGAACGTCAGACTGTTTGAGCGTTTAATTGGGCACAAAAAAGAACCCCGATAAATTCCATCGCCGATACCTTAAGAGGTATTCGTACAGATGCAACAATCCGCCCACGTAATGGTGGATGGCAGTTTCATGTTCCCCGGCAAAAGTAAACTTGATTAAAAATATAGAAACATTAGTTCTCCGCTATGATTTATGTTTTGGATTAGCCTTCTTCCTGGTTTGTCCTCATTTGAAAGAAGCCTCATATAATCGTTTCAGTGGCATGAACAAAGGTCGAATGCAAATGACATACTCATACCATAATTTCGCTGCCAAAAGGATCTACTGACAAATTTAAAGTAGGCGAAAGAATATTCACTGTCACACTCACCTCTGACACAAGCCGCCCACCAGGCGATAATCGTAAACGCGACTCACGGCGGGCCGAAAGCACGGCTTCTGCATACATACTCGTCTGCATATTCTCTTTTTATCTGCATTTACGGCACAAGCGAATCTGCACTTCAGTCCACACGCGCACCTTATATGTTGTCGAGAGAAGAGGTGGAATTGCTTCGGTTTGCATACTGTGAACAGATCACAATATTTGGGCATATTACAATAACGACAATGCTAGACTGCCGCAGTTTTGGAACTCCAATTGAACAAACCCAAAAAGTTGCGGTAATGACTTTGTCCTGTACTTAACCATTTTGAATCAAATGTATTTCTTATGGGTCAGTGTTGTAAAGAAATGTAAAACCTGAAAATACACTACTTAGTGAACTGGTTTAATTTATTACATCGGTGAGACTGAATGCTCTTCGGGGTCAGAACCGTTCCGAAAGAAAACTGATGAACGAATTCCGAATTTCTAATATTCAACTGATTCGTTTATCCCGATGGTCAGCAGTAATATTCTGTTTGGCTATATGACTTCTATTTTCTAGTCCAAAACGAGAAGCCCCGAATTTACGAACTGAAATACTCAACCCATACATCCCACGCGCTTTCTGAATAAAAAATAACATAATGATATGACAATAGGATGGTGCCAAAATCTATTTTTCTGAAAACCTTGGTTTTTCTCTGCCGGTGTGACAAGGAATGGAATGGTGAACTGAAGCTTGTAAAATCTCTACGAAACTGAAACATGTTCCTCACCTGGGAGAAAACTAATAGGCGCATCATCCGGAGCCTGGAGTACTTCTTTATCTTCCGCTTCAGCTGCTGAGTTTTTGGCAGTCACGATGCCTATCAGGACAACTGGCAAAGCAAGTGCGAAAATCCCGAACGATAGTTTTTGTGTTGGGACCATGTGCTCACCTGTAAACTTACAGACCTGACGTTCGCAAGGTAATGTTCGAAAATGCCGAGAAAAAATTATATATGAGTCCACCTTATGGATTTCCCACACGAATGCCAATATTAAAACGAGCACGTTTTGATCCCGCATTCATGAAATTTATGGGAACACGCCAGTTTACAAGTGGTCCAGGAAATACTGATCGATTATTTCGTGAAAGTCGACCCTCTCAATTTTGAACATACGTTTCTGTGAAGGCATCTGTTCTGCAGCCTACCGATTTATCGTAGAAGTTTGATTTTTTCTGGCTACTGTGGCCCAAATGGACATGATATCATCTGTGAGAAGGTTAATTAGACGATAGGAAACGATAAATGAATACGAGCAACCGATGTCTTGTGGTTTAGGAATACTGAAAATACTGGAAATACTGATATAAAGCTTCTAGTAAATGTCCACATGTGAATGCTGGTATCCGAAGCAGATATGCCAGTCACTGCTTGTTAAACTACTGGACGGCTGCGCATATCTGAGGAACTATTACTGGTTAGTTTAGAGCCAAATTCGTTGCCACCTACAGACCTTTGATGTCGACGTAAACTCGAGAGAAATAAAGCTTGACGGGAAGCATGCAAAAGCTTGTCCCTAACTGCCAGTCTGCCTAAACTTGATGGCACAGTGGTGAGCGCCAGCACAAAATATCACCTAGCTATCAATCATATTCAACGATCCCTCTAAGTTTCGATTTGGTGCCATTCCGCATTTTGACACTGCATGAACTATCCTCAGGATCACCCATTGGCGCAATTTTGAGATAGTAATGGGTAGTGCACTGTTATTCCGGAGCCCGTATGACAGCCCATATTGTCTGGTGGCTTGTCCGGCGAGTAGTGGTCATACAATAGAACGAATAAACCACATTCTAATGTTTCGCAGATGACGAGTGTGAGCCTGTTGAGAACCAGCAGCGTCGGATCTAAGGAGGCATTTGCATTCGCATGTTGCGTAAAGTGAGGGAGGGGAGTGAATGCTCTGGATACTCATAAGTTGAGACATCATCGTTTTTTCTTACTTTTGTACAGTTTCTTCTGGGGGGTGACACACCGCATGTGACTGATCCGAAACTGACCACAGACAGAGTAGTCAGACAGTATGCTGCCACCTGAACTGATGTGTTACTAAATGTCACTCGAAAAAACTGCAAATTATTGCAGAATGTAAAATAATCAAACGAAAAATTGTTAACTTCGCATGGGCCTTGTGATAAATACGCGTGTCACAAATGTGTGTCGCACGGCGACTTTTCACAATCCAAGAAATCTGTTAGTGGTATAAAAACTGTCAGTATCTGCCTACTAATATTATCCAGTTTTTAATAAAGTCAATTATAGTGAAATTTTGGTGGCTTTAAGGATGGTTAAAAAGAATTTCGACGCAAATAATCCGACGCTGATCGCCACACTGATTGTGGCGTTCATCCGGTCAGTCCCAGAAAATAAACAGAAGACCTACCTACACATGCACAAGGGCAGATTGACACAGGTTAGACCAGATTTTGAAGCTAGACAGGAAACTCTGTTGGGTATCCGACGTCTAACATTCGGAAATAGTAAACAGACTGTTTAATAATATCGATATGAAGCGATCGAACCGTTGACACGTTTGATGGTTGGCTCATTTCTGTTTTATCCGTTTATTATCTATTTATTTGTCGGATATTATGCAGTAAGGCACATGCCCTTAAAACACATCAGGATATCAAGCAAAAACTCATTTCTGTGTGCTCTTTTCGAGGAATTTTGTGCTTCATAGCCAACCATGACTGAGCAATAGCTAATATGCTTCTGCGAGTTAGGTGTGCTTTACGATAGCCCCCGAAAGGAATGGCCCCAAAAATGAAACCCACTGCTTGGAGAAAGTTCAGTCAGTGTGGCTTATTATTAGACATTACAATAAAGTAAACAGGTGGACCACGTGGAATGTCACCGTACAGTAGAACTTCCACCTAGGCATTCGCAACACAGGTGGGTTGACGCGGCGAACAGCGTATTCCTTTTGGGTTCAGAGCCTGAATTTCATCAACTTGTACCTTTCCTCTACGGATACATCTCGACTGCCTCAAATTGTTACGGATTACTGTCAACCCTAGAAGATATGCTTGTCAAACAGACAAAGTAGACTTCAAGCACCCACCTACCGGAAGAGCCCGTATCCAGGTCTTGGCAGTCAAAACAAGCACAGTCTGCACGGACTCACCAACTTTAAAGCTGCAAAGTTTTTGCCACCCTTTCACAGCTCAGGAAGCTGGACAGGCTGAAAAACTCAACTTATGCTTTGAACGCCCGGGACCTAAGCATCGAGCATTTGAATACCGCATCCCTACACGTTGCGATGCCCTGAATTGCTATTAAACAACTAGAGAGAAGGCATGCCTCAGTTGATGCAAACGTGTCATTAGACGCGAACTCACAACGCAAAGGTTCGTGCTGTAAATGAATTGCACTTCCACAAGTATGATCTATGTGTATTCACCTCACACTGGCTTAAACAGTCCTGTTGTAAAGACGCTAGTGGAAGCACTGGAGTGATTTACGAAGTAAGTATGACACCAATACTTCATCGAACGATGGGCGAAACTGTATTGTAACGTGTGAACAGACGAGCTAGGTGATAAAACTTTCCAGCTATCCGAAAAACGACTCAGCAGCCGTCCTCATTTGGAGATATGAAACCATATATTTCCTAAATGGTTTCAGTCCCATCCATCCATACCTTCATTCACTTGATAAAAAGCCATGCAATTAGACTAATCATCAGAATATTGCTGACCTAATTTATCTACCCACACATGCGAACAGCACCACCAAACCCGAAGGATAGCTCGACGACACGGTCCTGTGTGCACCTAGGAGGATGCACGTGAGGTAGGCAGCAGAAGGAAGCCTGTCAGTTCAAACGGCTGAATCCCTGTCTAGATGGTTATTCCGATCGACCGATGAAATGCTGAGATCCTGAACCGCTACACATATTCTGAGACACAGGCAATTACAGTGTCAGTCCAGACTCCTTACGGAGTATTTGTTGCCACTTTGAGAGTTCACGTCTGCGCTGGCCACCACCATAAGGAGTCGGAATAGTGCGTTAAGAAACACGGCTTTTAGTTTGGCTTTGTGTAAGGACGCACATATGGTACGGCAAACTTTGCTCATCTCACATACCACACTCATTCTCATCCTCCGTTCCAAGGTCCCGTACTTAACGTTCGTCATTTCTAACTGTTTCGGACCTAGAACTGTGGCCTGAAAACTCTACATTTTCCTATCCTACTCTGTTACACACTTCCCCCAATATTGATTTTTTGCACCTATCAAATCCCTTCTATGCTATTTGTTTTTTTATCCTGCCTGGGCTTTCTTTGTCCATCCCATATTTGTTTGTGATGACAATAGACAGTCGAACATGACGTCCTGAGCTGTAATGGTTTTGTCAAGTTGTTGTTGCCCTCGGTGCCTATTTCGAGTTACAACAAGAGTGTATGAAGTCGGAGACGTTCAGCATTTTTCAACCATGTTATACCGGTGACATGTCTCACAACAGAAAAAATGTCAACCTTCTTAACAGACAACAACCCCTAATACCAGACAGACAACCATTTAGTGAATCACCAATAGAGGAGGTTGAACCATTCGCTTTTGCACAAGAGCAAGAAGTCAAACTATGCAATTAGCATTTAGCGAAATTGGAAGAATGGAGCGTTGTTCTTGACGTTGAAGTGTCCTTCAAGATCTTCGGTCGATGAAACATTCCGGGAGACCACTAAATGGAATCATTCCTGAGAACTTTGGCGTAGAATACAAAGAGACCCCGAGAATAGTTTTCTGACCTAATTCGATGCAAGATTCCACACAAGGGTGCACGCTATGGTTAAAAAACGAGCGCTAATGGGGCAGAAGTGAGAATTATTGGAATTGATAAGGAGGAAAAGCGAACCAATTACGAACTGCGACCTCGGGAACGACTGACACTGAAAAACCTGACGCAAGGTTCTGATATTTTCTAATAGCTCTACAAACAAAGAAATTGTGAGAGAAAAACCGTGAAAGGTGTTATGACCAGGACAACGACGTGAGACAAAGGTTCCAGTGACAAAAAATATGGGCGAAGTGACTGCCTAAGAGGAGTAAAAAATAATGTCAAATATGATTGACTTTAGACTTTCTCCGAACCCAAATCCTTTGTGTCCCTTGGACGAGTTTGTATTACTCCACAACCCAATGAGCCCTTCAATCTTCATGGTGCAGTAGACGAAGTCTGCAGCTCGCAACTTGTCAAGGAATCTGGAGAAAATTCTGGCACCACAAGAAAAGGCACTCATTGGCCCGAGCGAAACTTGAGCATGAATTTCAATGGTACTGTTTTTTCTATAGTGGGCCATCTGCCAAGTAATGACATCTCAAAAATAGGAAGTTAAATAATATGAAAAGCTATTCATCACACGTAACTCAGAACAGTCTATGCGCATAAAATTGGAGTTCCATTTGTTAGAAGGGATCGCAACAATTTTTCTCACATCTTCTAATGTAGATAAACTCTTTTTGGATCATTTCGAACCAGATCAAATAAATATCTCCGGACATTAGCTGAAATATGGTGGCACTACATGAATGATACATTTCTGATTACAAAATAACAGCACGGAAAAGTACTCAGGTGTTTCCAACAGTCGGCGTAAAACCATTCAAGTTGCCGTAACTGTCTGTTGGATATGCACTGAACATGGGCCACCCTGATCATATGCAAAGTCATAAGTCTGTACAAAACTGGGGCATTTTGAAGTTGCCAACACCGTAGATACTGCGTTGTAAAGACAAAAGACGGAAGTTCAATTTGAAATTCGTCGTGTACTTGAAGTCTATCCGCGCAGCATAGCCTAGAATAATTGCACAGCTGTTTGACCATTACTTGCTCATCTAGAAAGATTCGAACGCGCAAACTTGCGGATAGTAGTTGATGGTTATACAGTTTGGCCAGCTAAAGTT